TTGTCTCAATTCGCTGCAGCTTAAGTAAATAATTGCAGCTGGGATACTAAATTTCAGTTTTTAGTATTTACCTAGCCTAAACGTCAACTAGAGCTTGGCAAGAGTATACTCAAGAGCTACTATAAATTGAGAGTGATTATATAATCGTTAATCAAAATATATGTATAGTGTGAATAAAGGATGATCCACAAACAATAGTTGGGCTATAAATTGAAAGGCAACAAATTGCTTTTGTTGTTTTTGTATTAAATGATATGAAACATTAAGTTGCATTAACTATGTCCATCAACCTTTCTATCTATCCCTCTATCTAATTATTTATCTATCTATCAGTCTATCTATCCCTCTATTATCCATCTTTCCATCATTCTATCTATATATCTATCTGTCTATCTATCTATCTATCTATCTATATATTTATCTATAATCTATCTATATATCTATCTATCGATCTATCGACATATCGATATATCTATCTATCTATCCATCTAATTTGTTATCTATTTATCTATTTATTTTCCATCTACCCATCGTTTTATATATCCATCTATGCATCAATCTATCTATCCATCTATCTGTCTATCCATCTATCAATCAGTCGATCTTTCGATATATCGGTCTATCGATAGATCGGTCTATCGATATATCAATATCAATCTGTCTATCTATTAATCTATCCATATATCTATCTATCTATCTATTTACCTACATATACATATATGGAATGATAATTAGATAATTTAGGTAGAAAATTCAGTTGAAATTTCAATTGATGATATGTAATATTTCTGAGCCTTTAGAAATTCATAAATAAATGTGAAATTATTTTCACAATTTCAACAGCTGGAAATTATTGATAATATAAAAAGATGTTTTACAAATAATATTATATCTGCTCGATCACCCCTTCATTGTGCCATACAAAGCTCAATTTACATTCAAATGCACTGAAATAAAATTTTATAAAAATTTAATTATCACTTTAAATGAACACCTTTTAAGGGCTTAACAAAAAACAGCAACAAAAACATTTTTATTTTTGAAATTGCAGCAGCCCGTTGCATGAATAACGAAGCTGAATGCTGTTAGGGCTGATGTGAAATGCATGTAAATCTGCTCCTCGTGCAACCAGATATCCACGCTGAACTTTTTAAAGCATTTGCATAGGTTTGCTTTGTCCTATTTGCAGCCAAAGGGTAAAAAGTGCAAATGAATGAGCGCAGTCTAATAAAATGATTTCACGTGTAGCTGACAAAAAAAAAAAAAAAAAAAAAAAAAAAAAAAAAAAAAAATAGGCCAAAGTGACAAAAACACTAAATTTGAAAAACAATAAAAGAGCAAACAAAAGAAAATATTACCTAAATAAAATATTTACTTATTCAAGCTGCAATCGGTGCGAGAGAATTCAGGCCAACATGTCAGCTGATCAATTTATGCAGGAAACTGAGCGAAATTATTATATTATGGGCATACGTAATCGCTGTAAGCCCATTGAATGCTCTCGAATTATGGCCATTAAGTGGCGTTAATAAATGATTTTGTGGAACGTTTTGTGGCTATTAATAATATAACATTGTCTGATTGATTCGAGTGACCATGCGTTAGGAGCTCTGCCATTGTTTAACTAATTAAACTGTTTTTTTTTCTTCTCCCAGCCCCGACCCCTCGTTGCTCATTTTGTTATTGTTTTTGTTCCGGTTGCGCCGTTGCGCATTTATTAATCTTTTTTCATAAGATGCTGCTGGGTGGCGTAATAAACGCATAAAGGATATTAATGAGCTGCTGTTTGTTTATCGGCGCCTCCGTCTCCGTCGCCGTCTCAGCCTACGCCTCTGACTTGGCCGGAGACCCACACAGAACTCTCATTCGAATTGCTTTTATTTCAGCTGAAAAGGCAACTAATTGCTTACTCACACACTACACACGTACACACGTACACGTACACACACACACACACACGCACTCATACACACATGGAGCATGTTATTGCTCATGTTGGCTGAGAAGGCGCTCGCATATTTCACAAATTGCGCATACGACAAGTTAAACGTAAACACACGCTGAAAGTCGGGCCAAGTCAGTGAAGAGCGCATTATCAGGCCATAGTTCTTATTATTGTTATTGTTGTTGTTGTTGTTCTTGTTGGTGCTGCTGCCTGATGCATGCCTTTTGTCATAATTCAACTTTTATTTACACACACTCTCACACACACATGCTGAAAGTGAAATGTACTTTGAGTGGCGCTAAAAGTATGCCGCGCGGTGTAATAACACGCATTGCTGGGAGGCGCTGATGCTGATGCTGGTGATGGTGGTGGTGCTGCTGCTGCTGCTGCTATGACAGTGACAGCAGCGGTGCTTATGCTTGTCAGACGCACGCTTATGTTATTACACACACACACACACACTCACTCACTCACACACACACACACACTGTGGCAATTGCAATCTGTGCTATGCTCTTGTTGTCGCCGCGTCCTGACAGCATCTTAGGGCACAGTCATCGCACGAACTGTGATTGCCCGTCAGGGCTCAGTGCCATCTGCCACGCCCACTCATTGCCAGATAAGCACCAATGCTATGTCTATCCACATAATAAATATCTATGCGTGAGTGAGTGTATGTGTGTGTGTGTGTGTTGCTGTGTCAACGCCTCGACTTCAGCTAAAATGTATATTTCTTATAATATTATTATTTTTATTTCATTTTAAAATTTATGTCAGCTGCCATCAGCCGCTGTGCGGAAGCAAAAGTAAAACGAGTTATGCGCCCAGCCACTTTATGAGCCATGAGAATTGCATGAGTGGAGGCATGGGGTATGGCGTAAGCCACAGTGGCCATGACACTCGCATAGCCGTACCCCCAGCCCATACCCATATACACATACCCCTAACCATACCCATTCGCATTCGAATTCCTTAAGCTCATTCGATGGCTCGGCGCCCGAGTTGATGCGGCGTTAAATCTTGAGGAAATTGTGTCACATTATGATGAACATTTATGGCAAAGTTGAGCATTTGCTCATAAATTTACGCTCCTTCACAGACAGACTGTATGTGTGTGTGTGTGGGTGCCTGACTGCACCTGCCAGTGCTTGAATTAAATATGATGGAGTGGCTGCGGTAATTTGACATGGCTCAGCTCATGTTCCAGACAAGCTGCCGCTGTAGGCGGACCCTGCGTCGGACACCTGTGCTGAAAGCCAATCAATAGCCCGAAAGCAGCAAATGTGTAATTGCATCAGGGTCTGGGTCGCGACATAATATATAATATATAAATAGATAAGACACCAAAAAGACGCCGGACGCAGAGCAAATAGTAAATTTAGTCAAAACTTTTGCCAGGCTATTTATAAAAAGAAAGCCAGAGACCCCAGCTCAGACTACACTGGACTGTTAACGCATATGTACACCGCTGTCAGTAAATGTCAAAAGTTGTGCCACACACACACACTGACAGAGAAGGCGGCAAGTGGATCGAGAATGTTGGGTGGATAAACACCTTATTGTCCTGTGCTGGCGAAACTTTTTTAATTAACAAATCCAGCCGCAAGTTCAGTTTGGCCAACGGCGCTGCCTAATGAATGGCGCTAATGCCGCCGAGTTAATTAATCAGTAATTAAATATTCGAACTAGCTGACAAGAGCAGCAAGCGGAAAACTACTCATGTTATATGTTGCGATGTTTTCCACGACTGCAGCTGGCGCCATAAAATTTACTAATGAGCAAAGTTTCGGTCACCTATTTGCAGGTAACAGGCATTGAGAAGGTAACAAATTTCAGCTCTGCAATTAAATGCAAACGGCAAAACAGTTGGGCCAACATTGCGTTTGCTTATCATTCTAATCAAAGCACCTCTCCAAAGTTCATAAAAATTTATGAACTTTGCTTCTTTTATTTATACGCAGATCACAGAGTGTAATGTATGTATATGTGTGTGTGGATGTATGCGTTGTATGCGTGTGCTACTCATTAAACAACGTGGCTGAAAAAGGTCCACCCCAAATGTTGCATAATTACGCTGACCTGGACTTGGGTGAGCCGCAGCAGCAGCAGCAGCAGGAGTAGCAGCAGCAGCAGGAGTAGCAGGAGCAGCAGACCTCTTCTGCTGCCTGTCACCACTGCTGTCGCAACCAGCCTCACCCAATTAATGCAACCACAGTGTGTGCGCCCGGTTAAATAGGCCGTGGCTGCAACGCATCGTTGGCATAGAGGGGGCGAGCCTCTGTTGTGGGGGTGGGGTGCAGTAGGCAGCTCGTTGCCCTGCTGGGGGTTGGTTTATCAATTTTGATGCGTTGCCTAATGAGCGACGCTCGTGCTAAGCACGCAATTAAATGGAAACATTTGGCTGCTGCTCCTGCTCGAGCGGGGCCGGAGTCAAGGTATGCCCCGTGCTGGACTGGACTGTGGCATCAACGTCAATAAATCGACTTGCGCCGCGCCTTAATTACAAGACTCGCATCGAAATGTGCCATTAATCACACCTCATCGATGCGATGCGTTTGCCTCATAAAAACAGGCAATTCGCAGGCGAGCATCGAGAGCAGTTTCTATGCCAATAAAAGCAGTCGCTTACCCCCTTGGCCAAGTTTATGAGTTCAATTTGCTTGATTTGTGTGTGTGTGTGTGTGTTTGTGTGTGTGCGAGTCAGTAAAACATTTTATTAGCACTCTTCATATTTGCCGAAAGCAGCAAACGACAAAAGTCGAGAGTACAGCTAGTTGGCTTCGGCCTGACCGAATGCTCCCTAAGACTCAACTCATATATATAAACATATATACATATATATATATATATACATACAATATATATACTTGTGCTATGCAAACTCTAGAACATTGTTTGAAGAAGAACGTAGCATAACAATATATGTATATCCATCCGAATTGGGAGATGTTGTCCTGGTTTTGTTATGTTTAAGAGCAGAACCTTTGGATGTTATTGTTGAGCTCATGTTTCATGTCTCATGTTTTGTTTCTGCCTTTCGCTCTTCTATTTGCAGTTGCCGGCTCAGGGACGTCTCCAATCCGCCATGCCAAGAAGGCAATAAAAGTGCAAATAAACATGTAAAAGGACATTAAGATTCCCGTGGCAGCAGGACTCGCTTTCGATTTGAAAGCAGCTGAGGACAAACAAGCAGCGGCTGACTCACATCTAAATGCCATTTGAATTGTGCCTTTTATGGGCCAAGTTGAAGACGATAGCGAACTAAAGGCGCGTTGGCGCTTCATTAAAGTCAAAAGCGGAAACGGAAATAGCCAACAACAGCTCAAACAAAACGCGCTCACGCATACACCCACACAGACTGACTGAGGCATTTGTCTATTGGCGCCCAGGCAACCTCATGTATTGCCCTAGCTGTTGGTCTATTCGCTTTTCGTTTCGTTCCTTTGACCCTTTGGAGAAACTGAAGAGCGCGCCATAAATGACGAAAAGCTCATTGGTTCGACTACAGCGAGATGACTACAATACAATTTTTAATAGCAGCAAGCGACATGGCAACTGCAACTGCAACAGGAACCACAAAAATGCGATTCACAACTTCAGGAATAGCCACATTCGCCAATTGGCAAAAACAACCAGAGCAACAACAACAACAACGACAGCAACTAGAACACAACACACATCGAAAATCACGAACGCGAACGGCGCTGTTCACAGGGAAAACGGTTTCAATTGTCGTTTCGATGATGTTTTTGCTGTTGCTACAGCAGCCGACGGCGATTCGAGCGGAAGAGGAATCACAGGATTTTCAAAAGAACAGTAAGTACACGTTTCACCAACACACTTTTCAATTTCAGTGATTAGCCAGCATATACCCTGCAATGACTTAGCGAAGACCTTCCCAAATGCCATTTGTCAACTTGCGAGATTTTGTCAATAATCGGGAAATGAAATGAAATGAAATCCCTAGTTATTTATTAATTTTTCTTTTTTAACGTACCGCTGCCTTTTAGGCAACAGAAGTCAATTAATTTATATATTTATTAAAAGCTAGATTAGTTCTATATACGACACATAACAAAGAACAGATATATTGGGGGGATCAAAAATATGGGTAAGATTGAAGGAGTCATTATGAATGAGGCAGATGTTCAGGTGTAGACACGATGCAGCAGGTCTTGAGGATAGTGGCGTTTAACTCTTCTCCTAATACAGATGAGGGGGCTGAGAGGACGGGCTTAAACATTTTCTAAGCAAAAGAAGTACGAGAAAGATATTGTTTTTGTCTCTCAAGATAAAGAAAGTGGAAAGTAAGAAAATGGTGTGAGAGAAAGAGAGACGGAGAGCGACAAAGAGAAAGAGATAGTGAGAGAAAGAGAGAGAGAGAGGGAGAGCGGCAGAAAGAATGATAGAAAGAGAAACATATAGTGAAAATGAGAGAGAGAGAGTGAGAGAGAGGGAGACAGTGTGAGAGAGGGGGGTAGAAGAGAAAGAAAAAGAGTGAGGGGGGTAGAAGAGAGAGAGGGAAAGTGGGTAACTTCTCCAAAAATAAATAATTACTGAATTTCAAATATTCTCATCCCTATAAATACAGCCGTAAGAAAGTAGTTGAATCGACTTCACAAACACGCCTACTTCCTTCGACAGAAATCCCAGTCTAGTTCGAGTATCAATAAATATTCTGGGTAGACACTATTGAATTATATGTTTCATTAGACATGCTCTTCCACGAAATACCCTTTGATTTCGGCACAACGCTCGAGGGCTACAAACAAATCAAATCATAATCAAAGAGTTCATCCAGTCATTGAGTTAGATCGCTGGCTATCGCAATCATATTTACTCGCCTGCCAACTGCTGAAAGGCAAACTTTTCGCATTGAAGTTGAAGTTATGCAAAGCTGTGCCTGCAGCGAGCTCGAGCCATCCGCTTGGCCAGCAGACGAAACATTCGAGGGCGCCCCTTTCATTGTGGGTCTGGGGGACTGTCTCCAGTCGACCCACTTGGTCGTCCGTGCTGGAAACTGTGCCAAAAGGGCAGCCGCACTCTCTGATGCCGATAGATATTCGCACACGTTTGCACAAAATGGCGCCTTGTGCAAGCAGTTTGTGCAAACTTGCAAATCATTCACCGACAAATGCCAAAATGCTTATCAATGTGCGTTACATAAAACGTGCTGCAGCTTCTTTTATCCAAATAGAATACAACAAAAAACAGGAGAAGAAAAAATAACAAGAAAAAAAAAAGAAAGGGAAAACTTGAACGAAAACTTGCCAGCCAGCAGTTTTGGCCCAAACAACTTTATAATTTGCGAGGTCGAGCATGTGTCTGAGTGTGTGTGTGTGCGTGTGTGTCCAAGTGTTGTTACAACTTGGTGCCCAGTGCTTTTTACGATGCCATCAACTGGTTGTTGTAATTTACGCTCAGATTATTATAGAGCAGCTAACCTTGAAGCAGCAGCAACAGCAGCAGCAGCAACAGCAGCAGCAGCAGCAGCAGCAGCATCGGTCATATCTCATTTCCCAGACTATCAACGAGCAACGTTTTTTATGCTAGGATGTCAGCCACTCGAAAAAAAAAAAAGAAAACAAATCATATTTCGACATCGACATCAGCATATTTTCCTTTTGGATGCCGTCTGGGCGTCTGTCTTTTGTTGCCGCTCGCAGGGCTCGGCAGGGCTCGGCTGGACTGGCAGCAATTTATGACAGGATTTGGACTAAAACGAGACACATTTTCTGGCATTTTCTATTTCGCTTGGCATTGGCTATGGCAGCGCGCGGGATTTTGTTGTAAATTGAATTTCGATGCTTTCGATATAGACATTGCCATGCCCCCAGCTACGCCCACGTCTGACTGTTTGCCCTGCGCATTGGGCATTAAATTTAATTATGTGTGCTGCTGCTGCTGCTTGGACTGCTGCTGCCAGGTCTGCTGCTTCCTCTTAACTTATTAGCAGCCAAGCACTTGAGAGCTTAAAATGCCGACCGTTTCTTGGGCAATTTCCATCTTTTGACTTTTGAGACTCTCAAGAGTTCGCCCCACTCGATAGTGGCGCGTTTAAATGGAACTCGAATGTGCTGCCTAACGTTGCCACATTAACGACTCACACACACACACACATCCACGTGGAGAGGGGCAGCACGCTGGCTCATGGGACATTGCCATGGCACTTGGCTACGGCTTCCGTTTGTCGCATGAATATTTTCATCATAATCGTCACTATTTTTATGTTCACAAGTCTTTTCTGTCACAAACACACACACCACGCACACACACGCACACTCACACACACTGGTTTATGTATGTATGAAGTTGAAATTCTTGGCATTAGCATTCGATTTATGCGCACTCGATTGTTGTAGGCAAATGTCAAGCTGCGCTCCTCAAGCCATGCCCGGCTTTGCTTTGATGGGCAATCAACACGCGCAATACAGCCAGGGGGCGTGGCAGCTCTCAGTTCAGCTCAGCTCAGCTCAGATCAGAGGCGGCGCACAGTTCAATTGCAATGCAAACATTTCGCGCCCTCGAACAGCAGTCGACGGTGGCTGCGCTGTGCTCATCAGCGCGTCATTTGTGCTGTAAATTGGTTTTTTGTTAATTTCATATGAACTTCAAAGGGAAAAACAACCAAGGGGTGCAGCACCGCACCGCACACCGTTCTGCCCCGCCTCGCCCCCTGCAGCCGTCAGCCAAATGCGACACATGTGCGCTGTCAGCCAGCGGCGAACGGCTGAAGCAGGCAAAAGCGTGGAAATATTTCTCAAACATATTTCCATATTCACGCACACATATGTATATGCATAAATGTGTGTGCGTGTGTGTGTGTGTGTGTGTTTATATATACCAAATATTTATTTATAAACACGCGCGCGCGTTCGCAGTGTCAAAACAACGTCACAAGCAAGAGCCATGGACGAAGGGTGCAGTACGTTCGAGGGAGGGGGGGCGCCACAAGTCAAGTGCAACATTGCTCGCGAGGGGGTGGGGAAGGCGGAGCAGCGCACTGGCACGTTGCGCCAAGATGCAAAGTTCAATTTCACATGTGGAAAATAACAGAGAAAAATATTGTGGGGAGTTGCTATAAAAATACAACAGAGGAAGCACATGTCACCGTGAAGTACGTGCAAGGCTGATGCCACTGCAGCCAGAGATCTCCCCACATGACAGAGGGACACCAATACAAAGTGGCAGCAACGACAGAGCCGACGACGACGGCGCTGAGCTGAAATAAATGGGCTAGAATGGCTAAAGAAAATGTCGCGAATAGAGGATCAAGTGTGTTCAGGCAGCTCAAATACATATGAATGCAATATACATATATATTTATATATATGTACATATATGATGGTCGCTGCATAAATCGGGGAATTGACAAAAGTTGAGGTATCATCGCACAGTACATCAATAATGCGCCAAGCCAGCGGAGCGGCAAAGCCTTTTATCGGAGCATAGATTCAGTTTAAAGTCTTCTCTGCTCATATTGCGAATGAAATTCGCTTTATTTTGGTTTCTCGAAACTGTGCGCACTCAGGCGCAGTTATTTCAAGCGAATAAAAGCAACCGATCTGGATTATTTTCTTTGTGCAACATGTGCTCTCCACTTGGGCCAACGCAGCTGCAGCTGCAGCTGCCCCATAAATTCAGCAGCGCTGCGGCACTCTCATGAACAGCGCCGGCCTGGCCAGCCAGCTCGCTTGGCCCTGCCTAGTGAACCTTCCAGGCACAACAAGTGTCTAGGAATGCAGAGCAAATGCGGCTACTTCCTGTTTAGCGCGAAATTTCAATTATGAACAAACATGGGCGGGGCTCTCCTCACTCTCACTCGTACTCTCCCTCTCGCTCTCTCTCGTCCTCCCTCGTGGCCAGTCAACGTCCGTCTTTCACATAAAATGCAACACAAAAATGTTTTATTTGTCAGTTTTCCATGTCTTTTTTTTTCTGTTGCTCCTCTTTTAGCCGAACAAAACGGAAAAAATCGCTTTGCTCCACTTTCATGGGCGTTGGGGCGTGCATTCGTGCAGCTGTTTCATTTCTGGACAGGCATCAGATACGAGATATATAAATATATATGTATATACATATGTATATATACATATGTGTGTGCGCTGTTATAAGTTAGGGCACCCGCTGACTACTCAAACGTGACTGTCCAAAGTTTTTCAATAAACTTTAACAAGAAAACATTAAAAAGCCACAAGGCTGAAGCAGAGCATTTCCATTGCCATTTCCACATTTCCACATTCCCACATTTTCACATTTCCACAGCGCCGGCAGCAGCCCCTGGGCAGAAGTCAGAAGAGCTTCAAGCTCTATAAAGCGAGCGGCAAATAGTTGTGCGACTGTCCTGCCACGCCCCCGAGCCCGCGCGCCCAACACAAGTAGATTTACTCTTTGTTATTACGCCGACTAGCTGTTATCCCCCTCTCGTTTCCTCTCTCTTTCTCTCCGTTTAGGTCGTTGAAATATAAATTTCACATAAAAGGCAAATCTATAGCACATCTTTAGCTGCTCCAACTGTGGATGGCTTCAGCGGCTGGCTGAGCCACCCGCAAGGCACAGCACCACCCGGTTAGTGCGCATTACGCGGCAGCGAAATGAAATAAATATCATTTTATGACTTTTTAACTTGCTGCGGCGCCCCTCGCAGCAGCCTTGTCCCGCCCCAACCGCCCGCTGCGCTGTTGGCCTTAACAAGCGCAATAAATGCAGCAAGCCAAAGCCAAGGCACATCAGCAGATGGCCAGAGGCGGGGGCGGCGGCTGCCTGGAGGCTAAGACATCTCTACTGCCACTTACTGCTGCTGCCCGCTTTTATGG